AGGTATCGCTCGTTCCTCTCAATCTCCACCACTCATCTTCCGCCGCCGCATCTGAAGCACCGCCCATGGCCGACGTCGACGCTTCCGACGCTCTGCCTTCATCGTCTCCGCGTGCCGTTGCTGCTCCCGATCATCCTAACTTGGAGGACAGAGATTTCATTCTTAGCCAGGACTTCTTCTGGTAGGTTCTTCTTTAAATTCCTTTTTCGTTTACGAGTATTTGGTTGAGCTCAATAGCATTGCGAAGTGGAAGTCATTTCTTGTGATTATGTAGTACATGCTTAATTTCTATTATTTTTCGTTTATCAGTTAATTTGAGCTGAATAGCTGATGTTTATTTGTCGGCTCACCGTCGTTTAAGTTGCTTAATAGCTACGAGATAGAAGTCATTCCCCGTTCAAAATAAACTCAATATACAGGATAGGTAGCGTAGATGATTTTCTAATCGTTTAACACTGTCTAGAAATTACTGTGCTTGTTGACATTGAGATTGTGGTATGCATTACTGCTAAAGGATAGCTCGCGAGATCGAAGGCTGCACTGTGACTGGCTGAATTACTATTTTTGGCGTTTAACTTTGGGTTGTGGATGTTTATTGCAGCACCCCTGATTATATAACCCCGGACAATCAAAATCTGTTGAATGGTGTGGATTGCAACAAGGTGAGCAGTTAATGGGGAAAGCTATCCAGGCCAAAAAACAAGGGTTTTTTTCAGAATAAAAAGCCAATTCCCTAATTTTTCTGGGTGTCTTGTCTTGGCAGGAAAACATTCCTTGCCCCAAATCTCCAGAGAAGATTACTACTGTTAAAACCAAGAGAAAAATACATGGTACGTTGGTAACAGTGTGGATCTTAAACTTTTATCTGACTGAGCTAATTAACCATTGAGTGCTACTGATAGAAGAGAATAGTGATCAGAGGATCACGATCACATGCATTACACTGATTTGCTATGTATCTTGGATTAATTCAGGGGCATGCACTCAATTGTAATCATGCTGAAGCTGAACTTTTCAAATCAATAATGTATATAGTTAATCATTTACATCAAATGTTGATTGGTGCTGAGTCATTTGTCAATGTGGAATATAAGATATACATTGGTCTGAAATCAAAATTTGACATCCACATATTTCTATTCAATATTAGCGATATTTGTTGTTAAGTGATATAACATAATTCTTTTCTTCATTTAATATCCTTGTTGTCACAGACAGTGTTTTGGTACATCCTCTGAGCCCAAGCTTGTCTGGCCGTCAAGAAGTAGTGGAGCTTGGAAATGACACTTTTGAAACAGATGATGTGGATATGGAGAAAGAGACAATGGCAATGCCGAAGAAACAAAACTATGTTTCTCAATCTGCAGTTGCTCTACGTTGTCGAGTTATGCCTCCTCCTTGCATGAAGAACCCATACTTGAAAGATGCTTCAGACATAGGTGTAGACCCATTTGGTAATCAACGAACTAAATGTGCAGGTACAATCCAAATAATAGATTATCTTTTGAAATCATCTTTTGTTATGGTAATGGATTTCTTTTCTGCTGTGGGAATTAGTTTCTTGGTTTCAATTTTGTATAGGATTTTTTCCCGCACTGTTTAGTGGAGATGGCCTTTCAAGATATCATACTGATTTCCAGGAGATAAAGGTATCCAGAAACATCTGCTTAGTTTGCAAGCTTCTGTAGATAGCGATTGAGATTTTGTATTCATATTTCTGGCTGTCAAATTTTGTAGTTAACCTCATTTAATTTCCAGCAAATAGGGACTGGAAATTTTAGCCGTGTCTTCAAAGTATTAAAGAGAATTGATGGTTGCTTGTACGCTGTCAAACAAAGCACAAGGCAGTTGCATCAAGACATAGAAAGGTTAATTATTTTACTGTTTGTGTCTGTAACCTGTATACGTTCAACGTATAAACACCGGGAAATGTGTATTATATTAGAAGTTTCTCCTTCCCTTTGCAGGAGAAGAGCTGTGATGGAAGTTCAAGCTTTGGCAGCTTTGGGTTAGTAAATTTATTTAGATATGATTTTGTTTTTGTTTTACTATATTATTGTAATTATTATGTTTTCTCTGGAGCAACTTTTATCTTTTCTTGATTGTTCTCTGTTGAACATGTAGGATCTCATGAAAACATTGTTGGATACTACTCATCATGGTATGAAAATGAGCAACTCTACATTCAAATGGAGCTCTGTGATTGTAGCTTGTCCATTGGCAGGTATTCTCACCCATTCTCTGAGACAGATGCGCTGAGAGCCTTGCATCAAGTGAGTTTCTGTCCTATCCTGAATTTTTATTTACTTTTACACTTGATTGGCTGCTTTGAAGAGTAAATTTAGTTATCTCTGGAATTTATTTGATATGTTACTTTTAAGTAAACTTTCCACTTGAGAAGTAATGATCGGGAATGCTTGGTGTAAATTATCTACTAATGTTCTATCTTAATCCATTTAAATCCCTATGTGGCTTTAATATTTGATATAGTATCATCTTTTCAAGTTTTAGAACTCGGGATTTTTTAAATTTCTGTTTCTTTGCTGACAAAAAAACTGTGAACAGATTTCAAAAGCATTGCTGTTTGTGCACGAGAAAGGAATAGCTCATTTAGATGTGAAACCTGACAATATTTATGTCAAAGATGGTTTCTATAAACTTGGTGATTTTGGATGTGCAACTCTTCTTGATAATAGCCTACCAATTGAGGAGGGCGATGCACGCTATATGCCTCAAGAAATTCTAAATGATAGATATGATTATCTTGACAAAGTTGATATATTCTCCTTGGGAGCTTCTATTTATGAGATTGTGAGAGGATCGACATTGACAGAAGCACATTTCATGAATCTTAAGGAGGGAAAATTGCCACTTCTTCCTGGTCATTCATTGCAATTTCAAAACTTAATCAGGGTATGTACGAGTACTGAATACTTATGTTTTTCTTTTGTTCTCTCCTTATTTTCGTTCCCACATATTTTACATTTCATTAGAATGTAAGATTTTATTATGCTGATGTCTCCAAATTATGTGAGCCTATGATGTGTATATATTTGGATGACAAATGTTCTTTTCATTTTTCAATCTTTTTCAGATTTCTTTTTCTGCAAATAACAGTATGTTTTCCAGAAGGAATATTTGATTGATTGTTTGAACCGTCTTAATATACAATTCTATGTTGTGGTTTTGAAAGATGAGATAAATAAACTTGACGTATGCCTATCAGAATTAACTAATTTTAGATTTTCTTTTAGCTGTCTATTCTACGTTTATATACTGCTAGCTTGTTGCTTCCATCCACTCCTTTATTGGTAGGAATATTTTTGTTGAGAATCTGATTTCAGAAGTTCAGCATAATTCCAAGTTTCTCTGTTTGTTCGAGCTCTTAATCAGTAAGCCTTTTTTTGAGTGCGATAACATATGGGGTGGGGATTTGAACCTTTCTCCTTTTGATTGAGGATATATACTTTAATCAGTTGAGCTATACTCAAGTTGGTTCTTTAAGTAGTAAACTTTATACTTTAAAGTCTGTAAGGGCTCTTGGAACTAGCTTTGGAAGGGTGATATCTTCCCGAAGATTACTAGAGTGGGTCATGAACACAATGCAAAGGAAGTAAATCTCAATATAGAAAATGTTTGTATCTGAACAGGAAAAACTTATCTCTGATTTGAATATTGGATGTCAGATTGACTTTGTATGACCATGAGAAAATTTTCACTATTTACCACATTACTTTGTATGACCATACACTTTCCACCTTTTATGATTAATCGATAACTCCAACAGGCCATGGTGGATCCCGACCCTGTACGACGACCTTCAGCAAGGGAAATTCTTGAGAATCCCATATTTGACAAGGTCAGAAGTAATCCAAAAGCCTAGGTCAATCTTGGTGTCATTTTGTTGTTTCATCCTTGTAACAGGTAACCCTTGTATCTGCAATCCACTTGATATCAGCCTGCTATTTTGTAAGATTTCATTCACCACTTTACAAGTTCATGCACCAAAATTTTGCCTCTACCATGGTGCAAATTTTGTAAATCCTCTATAATGTTGTATTATAAACTAGTAAACGCAAAATTAATGAAGCTCTTTTCATTTTTGAATATATGAAACTCACTCTCATTCTATGAACATCTAAATATAATTAAACATCTTGATCTTAGACTTTCTATTTTTCTCCATGTTTACCAAATTTAGTGGAAATAATGCCAATCAGAAAGGTCTAAGGGATGATTTTATTTTCTTTCTTGTATTATTTCTTTAAGATTGTTCAATTTGTTGCTACAAAAGCAAAGATATTGATAATTAAGAATACGATCCAACTGTGTTTGCTTGTGTCAAAAATGGCAAGAATAAATGGTTTCACACTTGTAGAATTTCTTGACAGAATATATGTTGAAATGAACCATTTTGCCCTTTATTTTTCTTCTTCGATGAAAATTTGTTTGCCTAACTTTTGACAAATTTGGTCGGTTTTATGGCTCGAAAGGAGTCTCTTTTTTTATGTTATTGTTAGAATTAACTACGGTTTGATGGCTGAGGAAGAGGAAATTATTAAGTGGAGTGAGATGCAGAAACTAAATACAAGTCTCGAAAGACTAACCAGTTTACCTTGAAATAGTCTCTAATTTTCCTGTGTTTAAAGATTAATTACGTAATTGACGTAGCAAAATTTTCGTATGTCCATGGATTCATTTACATGAGGAGTGAATCGACATTTTAATATTATCGAAAAAAAGTTGACAAAATATGAAAAACATCAATAAAATATATTTTGAGAAACAAAAACAGTTACCAAAGGGTTATGTTTCTCGAAACGAGATTTAGAACAATTTGTAACACATGTTTTGAATATCTCATTATTTTGCTAACATGAACATCACTCTAGCACGATTAAGACATATTGCTTCTTCATTAGAGGTCAGCGATTCAATCTCCCATCTTCACATTTTGTTGAATTAAAAAAGAAAAAGAAAAAGAACGTCTTATTATTTTAAGGTTTAAAATTTGCCCATGTGAGCTTTGCTTAGCTTAGCGATTCGTGTATCTTTCTCCTTCTAATGGTCGATATTCAATCTTCTATTTCCATCTTTGTTGTACTAAAAAAAAGTTTTAAAATTTGAATAATATTTAATTGAAATGTTACACTGTATCCATTATCTTTGGAATGTTCCTTATAAAATTTTATATATTTTTTTTTGTAAAGAAATTAGAAACCTACCGTTCTCGAAAGGTAAATTAAAAAACGTAAAATAAATTTGAAAATGACAACAATATTTAAATTAAACATGTTCGAATATTCCCTTGTGCAAACTTTGAAAATAACAACTTTCAAACATGTTCCAATCCCACGTGCAAGATGATTTTTTATTTTTTTCCCCTTCAGAAAGACTTTATACTCTTATAATGTGATAAATTTGTTTATGCTAAATTTTAATCATTCAAGAAGGACCTGAGAACTTGCAAACAGAGAAAAAAACCCTGACGTTCAAGTCGGTGAATCTTCGAGCTATTAGTTTGAGGACGAGCAATCAAAGTTTGTCTTTATATTTATAGACATGGATTGGTGGGCCTCACTTGTCATCCACTTAAAACGCCACAAGATTCGTGAGATTTGTAGGCGTGGTAGGTTGGTGGTTGAAGAGCGGTTTCAATATTATACCATAAGCTCAAAACTAAGTATCCCAACAAAATTTATTACTTATTAATCATTGAAAAGTTTTCTAATCTCACTCCCGTGCTTGTCAAATCTTTCTAATCATTGTAATCTAAATAAATAATAATAATGATATAACTTAAGTTTTTTTTCTCAAATAAAATCTCAATAAACTACGGAAGAATGGAAAGAGACAACACATACGTAAAAGAAGCATAATTTCAATTGAACGACATCGACAATATCTTTTTTCTTTCTTTTTCTATTACACCATGTCGAGGTAGGATGAGAGTTTGAATACATGACTTTTTGTCTGAGATATATGTCATAATCAGTTGAGCCAGACTCGAGTTGACAACACTATCTTTTCTTATGAGTTATATTATGAGTTATAGATTATAATATTTTCTATGATATTATAAAAAATATACAAACATTATTAATGACTAAGTTCAACGGGTCGTTTTTTTGTAACTTGTGGTCGATATTGAAGGGTTTGAAAGTCAAGATTTTGGAAAAGGAAGAAAAGAAAAAGGCAAAAGACTCCAAAGTTTTGGAAACAAAATTTGATCATTCTTTTGAACCAAACTCCAAAAAGACCAAACATTTTCATCAAATTCTCTTCAACTCCTCCAATGGTTTTGGGTATCATTTATATTGCTTGGGAATAATACTTTTTAAAATTATTATTATTTTTTATAATTATCATAGTTTTTGAAAATATTATATAAACTACAATAGTTTTTATCTAGAAATTAAAACCTTTTTTTTTGTGTGTGTATCAATTGTAAGAAAAAGAAATGTAAAAATGATGAGAAAGAGGACCATATGATCATAATTTTAGAACCGTAAAATCGTCTTACACAATTTCTCTCCATAATTAGTCAAACTTTTAAGTTGACTTGCCATTTATAAATAAAAAAAACATTAATTATTTAAAATATAGGACAAAATATAGGATAAATAAAGAATTTAACCATATTTTTCTTATCAATCATCCAAGTACAACATTTATTACCTTCTTCTAGTTTAAGATTCCATCCCCACTTTTAGAAATATATTCGTAATTGGTTATAAATAAAAAAAAGACATATACCAATAATTATTATATATATCTAATTTTTATTTCGATTGGGTCACTGGCAATCAACACATAAATGAGTGGTTGTCTGAGTTTCTCGACCTGGTATCCTGCACCTCGTATTCATGATACCTACATTCAACTATGTTCCAGAAACATGGTCGTCGAAGCACGCGCAGTGTGCTTCTTTCATGACATGCTCTGGTCTTAAGGTGTCTTCCGGTGATCTAGTGTTAGTTAAAAAGTTATGTCCGTCCTGGACATTCGCAATGTCATTTTCCACGCTTTTTTCGTCCATTTTACTAAAACATCAATTAATTTATTTATGTAATAAATTTTAAAATTTTTTTTTAGTAAACAACATCAAAAGAAATAATATTCTGGTCCTAATTCCAGTTAAATAACCCGGACCGAAAGGAAAAAAAAAAACCAAAAAACCAATTTTTCTCGAACCATTTTGTTTTTCATCTATAAATAACACCAGAATTAAAATCAACCCCATACCCTGAAAACTTCCTCTTCCTCTTCCTTTCTCTCTCTCCAAAGATTGAAAAATGGCTGCAGAAGTAGAAATACATAATCACCAACCCATCAGCAACAGCCCCAAGAAGAACCTTTCATGGCCGAAACTACGCCGTTTCGACTCTCTAGACATCGAGGCCACCAACCTCCATCGCTCCTCCAAGGTACTCAAATTAAAAAAAAAGTTTTATCAAATAATAATAAAAAGAAAAAAAAAATTTTAGAATTTGAAATTATAGTATTGTATTATTGTAGGCGGCGGTGGGGTGGTGGGTGACGCTGCAGCTGGCGTTTCAGAGCATCGGAATAGTGTACGGAGACATTGGAACGTCGCCGTTGTACGTGTTTCCGAGCAGTTTTCCGGCGGGGATAAAGCACGACGACGACGTTTTGGGGGTTCTCTCGTTGATTTATTATACTCTCACCTTCATTCCTCTGCTTAAGTATGTCTTCATCGTCTTGCAGGCCAACGACAATGGCGACGGTACGCTAATTTCATTTTTTTATTTATTTTTTCTTCAAATAATTAATTCACCGTAAATGTCATATTTTCTTCTTTCATTTATGTTTCTATTTTAAAATACATATAATAATTATATGTTATTTATGTAAATTTATGGTAATTTAAGCAAAATTTAAACGTGGAACCAAAATATCTCCTATTTTACATTTTAAATTCTATAATTTTGGAAGGAAGAGCAAATTCAATATATATATTTTTTAATTTCTGAAAAATGGGTCAATTATCCAATTCTATTTTACATGATTTTTTATAGTTAGAATAGTTCATGTAGTTTAACTTTATTTAATTTATTTTAATAATTAATAGTCTATGTACTCTCAAAACGTTGGTTTGAATTTTTATCTTTAAAAAGTTATTATTTTAATTTATCCCTTAATTTAATTTTTATTCCCAATCTATATCAGTAACTATGACTTTATATTAAATGATCTCTATTATGTGTAGAATTTGTATTAAAATTTTAAAAATAGAGATTAAAATGATAATTTTTAAAAATACAAATACTAAAATAAATATATTAAAAATATGTGTGCTATATTTGAAAAAATATATATATTTATTATATGCTATTTCTGTTTTTGTGTGGAAAGAATTACCATATTTAATGTTGCCAACATAAATGAGTCTGTCCTGTACTAAACGTGAACAGTTTGAATTCCAAGGCTTTGGACCAAATTTTTTTCACCCTTTTACCCATGGACGCCTCTACAAATTCTCAAATATAATAAATTAATAAAAACATTAAATCAATTTTCACCTCATCCTCCTTCAAAAAAAAAAAAAAGTAGTTTGAATTCTTAAAATTTTCAAAATGTTCGATTTATTTAATGTGAAGTATGATGATTTGAATCTCTAACTTCAGAAAAATGAGTAGATACCTTAATCACCAAGTTTAGGTATAATTGTTTTTCTAGTAGGTATATGTTAATTATTGCTGAGCTATGCTGGCTTTGGCGGTTTAGGTTTAGTTGTTTTTAAACTTCTTTAAAATTATTTTAGTTATTTAGATTCATTTAGAAATTTGATATCTAATCTACTACTTACTACTTATTTAGGTGAGTATTTATATATATGATTTTGATTCTACTTTCAATATTTTTTTTTCTAAACAAAATCAATCAGGATTTTAAAATAGACCTAATTAATGGATAACTTGAGAATTAAAATTTTTAGGACGAAAAGATTATACATATATAAAGTTATACCATTTTGCATTTAGCTCCAAAACTAAGTTGAAAGATAAAAAATGAAATAAACACTAAAGTCAAATTGAAATTATAATATAGGTTATTGAAGTGGTTTATAATTCTTTTAACACTATTAATGATGGAGATCATTAAAAAATTAAAACTTTAGAAGTATACAACAAAAGGTGTACATAATTAATAGTGCTTCAAAAATCGATATATCAATTAACAATTATCAATTATTAAAAAAAATTCAATAAATTTCTTATTGGTAAGACTGGTCAAGAGTATTGGTAATCAAGCAGTCCACCTTGCAGTCCACGTGGCGTGCATGCAGTCTAGATGTGTCTAATTGACCTCTTTCTCTTTCTTCACAATTAAAATTCGAAAGAGAAAATACTTTTATTTTTCTCCGTTAATGATAATATTTTCTCTTTATATCTTTCTATAAATTAGAAAAATCCTTATATTTCCCTTCCTTATTAATTTGAAATATATGATAATTATCGTTTGACATATATATTTTTTTATTTTATTTTTTTGTTTCTGGTCGGATTTTTTCCTCCTTTTTAATAAAAAGAAATATACATGTGGTAATTATTTTCTATTATTTTTAACCTTTTTTTTTAAGAAAGAGAAACGTATTTGACCCCTCTTTCTTATTTCTCCTTTTCTCATATTTTAAATTAAAAAACGAAAAACTTTTTTATATTAAAGATTCAAATTTTTTAATCTCATATTTATTTTTTTAATGTTTTTATACATGTATTTTATAAGTCAAGAATGTAAAAATAAAGCTTTTATTTTATATTTTAAAAAAATTGAAAACGAGAACAAGAAAGTAGAAACATACAACTAGGAACCTTTGGTAATATTTTCGTTTCTTATTTCAAATTTTATTAAGAAAACTAAGCATTTAACAACTATTTATAAAATTATATTGAAATTCTGGAAACCAGCAAAAACAAGTTACTAGACGGCCCTACATTCTTTTTGTTTACCAAACATCTTCACAAGTTTGAAAATATTTCTTACTAAAATTGATGAACAAGATAAATCGTATTTCTCAAAACATTAGAAAATAGAAACAAGAAACGAGAAACGAGAATATTACCAAACAAGCTCTTGTATAACGTTAGAAAGTATATAAGAGCAAATATATAATTCAACGTTTTTTTCTTTCTTTTTTGGGATTTTGAAATACATAGGAGGAACGTTTGCACTGTATTCTCTACTTTGCCGATATGCAAGAATAGGGCTAATACCTAGCCAACAGGCCGAGGATCGAGAGGTTTCTAACTACCGGTTGGAGACTCCGAACAACCGGATGCGGCGGGCGTCGAAGTTAAAGTCACAGCTCGAGAACAGTCGCTTCGCCAAGCTCTTCTTACTGTTTGCCACCATGCTCGGAACTTCTATGGTCATTGGCGATGGCATTCTCACTCCTTGCATTTCTGGTAAATTAATAACTGTTTTATAATATTTAATACAAGGATAAAATTTAGGTGAATTTTGACTTATAGTTCAAGAACGAATGTATAAAATAAAATAAATAACCGCTAATTTTTTAATAGTGGTAAGTAACAACCAAGTAGTTTTATTTTTACCAAAATTAGAAATTACTTTCATTTTTTGTTTTGTGTTTTTCAAATTGATGTGGGTCAATATTTTTGTTTGAAAAATAAAATAAAATATAGGATATTTGGAAATTAGAAAAGGTTGCTTCCCAGTCCCAACAAAATTCAAAACAGCTCTTTCTGACCAATTGATGCCCCTTTTTTTTTCTTTTTCTTTTTGTTTCTGTTTCTTTTTCAAAGAATTGATGTCATGTTTATAAAATACTTTTGTTTTTTTCCCCAGTATATTCGGAGTCTAATTTTTATTTTTTATATAGAAGAATGAATACATCAACTTGAATTTTTTTCAAATATCATATTTTTATAAAAATATTGGTTAATTTTTCCTACCTACTAGAAGTCTAATTTCTTATTGTCATATAAAAATCAATTTTTTTATTACTTTGCAAATTTTAATTAGAATAAAAGCCTGTGATTAATTTTGTCTTAATAGTACCTAAAAAGTCTAGGAAAATACTGGTACCTACGAAGTTAAATTCTAAACTTGTAAACAAAAATTCAACTTTTTTCTTTTTCAACGTGTTGAAATAGGGTACTAGTTCAATAATCGAATTTCCAATACAAGATGAGAACGATCTTGGAATTGGTAAGGAACAATCTCACAAGTCATAGCTATAAGTTTGTAAGTCATGTCACCGAATCGAATAAAATGGTATAATTTTTGGAAATTTTCCCCAAGTCCAAAATTAGAGGGACACAATTTGTTTAATTTATTGCAAATTAAAGGGGTAATTTGCAAGAATCTTAAGATTCTCATGGATTTTTTTTTTTTATTTTAAGTTTCATTACAAATTCCATTTCCTCCTTTAAGAGANTTGGAATTATTTTGCAGCAAATTTTGACCCAAAAAAAAAACAGAAGAAGTAGAATTGGCAATAAGTGTAAATATGAAAGAGTTTTGTCATTTTATGCAATTAAATTTTTGTAAATTAATTATTGCAGTTTTATCAGCTGTTGGAGGTATTAAGAGAGCTGCATCTTCAATAACACAAGGTATGCAATTATACCCATTTTAATTTAATTTCAATTTGGTAGTTTTAAAAGTTCCATTATTATTTTTTATTGTTTGCTTTTTTTTTCTTTTCCTTTTAACATGTTTATTGTTTGCATAAAACTTACCAGATGTTTTTGTTGTTAATAAAAAATATTAAATAATACTTTATTATGTACAAATATGAAAGAAGTTTGGTAAATTTTAATTTAAAGGTTGGATAAACCTTTTAAAAGTATCGAGACCACTTGATATTAGAGTAAATTATAACATTTTTTGAACTCAAAATTAGTTTTTAGTCCTTTTTCAGTTTTAAAAATTTTAATTAGAGTTTCGAAATTGTAATATAGTAGCTAAAATTTTTCCAATTTTCTTCAATTTTGTTTTTCGAAAATGTGTCTATTATTACCATACAGATATTTTTTATTTAGGAGGTCAAATTAATCAAACTTTTCTATGAATTGAAGACCAAATTATTCCTTTAAAAAAACAAAAAAAAAACAAAAAAAAAAAGACAAAAATATTTACGTAAGTCTAATCTTAATTCTTAACAAGATCTTTTTTTTTTAATACTTCTTGAAGAGAGAAAATTTACTATTAATAGTTGTGTTATTCTATTTTGACTCACATCCAATGGGAATCTTTCATTAAATACAAACAAAAATGTCAATCAATTTAATGATTTGATTAATCTTAGTAAATAATGGGTCCCATTTTATCCCTTTTGGTCTTTTTATTTATTAAATGCAGTCATACTTCGAAATATAATTTGAGAATTAAATTAATTAGAGTAAAGTAGATGCACTTAAATAATTAATACTCTTAATTTTTAATTTTTAATTTTTATTCTTTTACAAATTAAGATTCTTACGTTTACGAGTAGTGTAATGTTTTCATTTTTCTTTTCTATATTTCTACGTATATATATGCCATATTATTATTATTTTTTATTCCATGTTTTCAAAAGCATTCTCAAAATTATTTTATAAATTAGTTAAGTATTAAAAAATATTGAAAACAAAACAAGCCTCCATTTTTAAAAACAAAAACTAATTAAAACGTCTTAAGTTCTTAGTTCCACTTTATAATATTCTGATAAAATAACTAAAATTTCAACCATAGGGTGTAAAACTAAAAAAGAGAAATAAAGAGTAACCAAGAATATTTTCATATTTGTTCTCTTCCAAACAACTGAAAATAAGAAACACGAAATCGAAGAAACAAAAAATGAGAACATTACCGGTGACCAAACGAGCTGTATACCGAAACCGAAAACGGGTTTCCAAAATCACTACTAAATTTTTTTTCGGTTTCCCAAAATCACTACGAAATTTTGATGGGAAAGTTTGAAAATTTGTGAAACAGATACAATTGTGGGGATATCAGCAGGGATCTTGGTGTGCCTTTTCATGGCTCAAAGATTTGGAACAGACAAAGTTGGGTACACTTTTGCCCCAATTATATGCATTTGGTTCAGTTTCATAGCTGCAATTGGCTTCTATAATTTTGTGAAGTTTGATCCCTCAGTCATCAGAGCTGTAAACCCTAAATACATAATTCAATATTTCACAAGAAACAAGACCCAAGCTTGGATTTCTCTTGGTGGAATTGTTCTCTCCATAACAGGTAAATTAATTAACCCTTTAGTATTTGTTAATCTATTTTTGTTTAGGCATTATTGTGTTCATTTTATCCCTTTTATATTTAAAAAATTTTCAATCGAGTCCCCAATTTCGAGTTAGTAACAGTGCCTATGTGACAGGAGGTTTTAAAAGATTATGCTTGTTTTGTCACAAAATATTATATATATATATATATATATATTTTGAATTTTGAATATGTTTTTAAAATGTTGATACGAAACTAAGGGAATATGTATACAGGTGGAAGCTTAATGATGGTAAGAGGGTTAATATTCAAACACAGAAAACCAAAACAAAATGATTATCGAACGAGGCCTACAAGTAGTTTAAATTATATTAGAATAATTTTTATAAATTGGCACCCCTCGAGATGGATGTAGTGTCAAAGAAATGAGGCTTGTGGTATTACCAACTATCAGGTTTTGTGTTCGAGTTGTACACTGGTCACTTAACGCATTAGTTATTATAGAGATCCATTGAGGGTAAGCCACACGGCATTAATCCTGAGCAATCACTTTTTTTTTTTTTTTTTTTTTTTTTGAAAAAAATGGCAGGGACAGAAGCATTATTTGCTGATGTTGGGCATTTCACAGTGAGATCAATACAAATAAGTATGTGTTGTGTTACGTACCCAGCATTATTGCTTGCTTACACAGGACAGGCCTCCTTCCTTCGTGCCCACATTCATGATGTTGGAGACACCTTCTTCAAATCCATTCCAGGTTAAAACTCAACTCTATTATCTTAATTTTATTGTGGGATTATGTTTCGAGAAAAATCGAGATTTTGTGTAGTTCATGTTCGATTTGGGTCGAGAAATGAGACGTTGTTGAAACCCGAGTTAGGTAATCTCGATTCGTGGTGTTTTTTTTTTAGATTGAAAAACATTGGCCGCTTTGGGTCAGTAAGAACATCTTGTAGTCCAACCAACCCAATCTACGAACACCCTTATCATGACACTGACACTAGACGAGATGCCTAAATTCAACATCAACTTAAAAGGGGAAGAAAGAAATAATTAAAAATTCTGATATCTCTCATAATTTGATATTAGAAGGCAATGTTTAGAAATAAAATTAAATTTGGCATTGGTGATCATGATGATGCAGGTCCTTTGTACTGGCCAATGTTTGTGGTGGCTGTACTATCAGCCATTATAGCAAGCCAAGCTATGATTTCAGGGACATTCTCGGTAATTCAGCAATCTCTTTCACTTGGGTGTTTCCCAAGAGTCAAAATTGTGCATACCTCTGCCAAATATGAGGGCCAAGTTTACATCCCTGAAGTTAACTTTCTCCTCATGCTTGCTTGTTTGGCTGTCACTATAGGCTTCAAGGAGACTGAGAAGATAGGCAATGCTTATGGTAACTAACACTCTCTCGTAACTTTATTGGTAAGCTTTTGAGTTCATAAGTAATTTATGGACGGATCTTTCATCTTTGTCCAGGTATAGCTGTCGTGTTCGTAATGACTCTTACATCCTCGTTCTTAGTACTGATCATGATCATGATATGGAAAACCCACATGGTTTTGATAATCTTTTACGTTGTTGTCATTGGTTCTGTGGAGCTTTTGTACTTGAGTTCAGTTCTTTACAAGTTTGACCAAGGTGGATACCTTCCGCTGGCTTTTGCCTTTGCACTTATGGCCATAATGTACACTTGGAACTCTGTGTACAGGAAAAAGTACTACTACGAGCTTGAAAACAAGATCTCTTCTGAACAACTCAAGGAAATTGTTTCGAGTGCGAAGCCTTGTGGGGTTACAGGGCTTGCCATTTTCTACTCTGAGCTTGTGCAAGGGATTCCCCCCATTTTCAAGCTTTACATGGCCAATGTGCCTGCCCTTCATCAGGTCCTCATCTTCGTCTCGATCAAATGGTTGCCTATAAGCAAGGTCTCATCCGAAGAGCGGTTTCTGTTTCGTCGAGTCGAGCCGAGAGAACTTAATATTTTTCGATGCGTTGTGCGATATGGCTACACGGACGGCCGCAACGAGCGAGAGTCGTTCGAGAGGAGTTTGGTGGAAAGATTGAAGGGTTTTTTGAGGGATGATATTTGGGGTTGTTCCAACGTGGATGATGAGGAGGAAGATGAGAATGGGGTCGAGGAAGAGAACCAAAAAATTAGAGAAGTGGCATTGAAGAGAGACATTGAGGAAGTGGATAAGGCATGGGAAAACGGCGTCGTTCACTTGGTTGGAGAAAGTGAAATTGTTGCTAGGGAAGGATCCAACATTTGGAAGAGGGTTTTGATAGACTATGCTTACAATTTCTTGAAGAACAATTTGAGACAAAGTGACAAAGTTTTTGACATTCCTAACAAAAATTTGCTCAAAGTGGGAATGACATATGAGCTTTAGGTAAAATGGGTTTGATCAATTGGCATATATTGTGTATTTAAAGAGTAGAAAAGCTTTACATTTTGTAAGATGCAAGCAAAATGATGATTAAATAAATGAGTAATTTAAAGCTTACTGGTACAAGATCTTATATATATTTTGTCTCAATTGATCCCTTTTATGATTCATGTTGCTCCTTCCGGCCTTATTAATAATAGAGATGTTTGCCAAAACGAACATAGCTCAGTTGTAATTGACATATACTTCTAAGCAACAGGTTGTGAGTTATACTTTTGATCCATGTAATTTCCTTGAAGTAACGATTTAGTCCTTGAATTTTTTTTTGTAACGATTTAGTCCTTGTATTTTTCAATGGATAACAATTTAGTCCTTATCGTGAAAAATCTCATCAAAATTATATATCGATTTATATTATGTAACGACTCAATTTTTGTAGGTATAAACACTTTTGATTAGGTATATAAGAAATCCCACTAAATCTTAAAACCATTTTCATAATGACGATTTTTAAGATTGCAAGGATGCAAACAAAGTATCATATTGGCTAGGGAATTAAGGAAGTGACTTTTGGTATATAGGTGAGAAAAATTATCTCCACTGTTATAAAGATATTTTGGATGAAATCAAAAGCAAATCATTAAGATGATGCTCAAAGTAAATAATATCATACTATTATGAAGTACTTGAAAATACTGGATACGAGAGAAGAAAAAAACAACCTTAAAGGTTAAAAATATAAGGGCTAGATTAATATAAATAATATATAGCCTATAAATATTAAATTTTTTTTTATTTCAATTTAAGAAAAGGATGGGAGCGCTTACAAATTAGATAGATAGGTCTCTTACTTGCAAAATAAAATGTTCACAAGACAAAAGAAAAGGAAAAAAAAAAAGCTTTCACACAAATTAAAAAGAAAAAAAGAAGAAGAAGATATTTTTAGTACTTATGCATCATTGAATTGGGCAAAAATTGAACTAAAGAGTTGAAAATTTAAAGTCTTTGGCAGATCAAGTTGAGTCTAAAAGCAGCTCCCAATGGGACTAATATCACACTTCTTTTACACATTATAAGGCCAACACCAAGCTCCATTTTTTATTTGAAAATTTTGTTTTTCTTCCCTAGAAAACTTAGTAAAATTGAAGAAAAATAAAAAGGAAATACATTAATAATTATGATTATATATATATATATATACTTTTTTACATATAACTAATATTTTTCTTTGTGAATTATGGATTATTTATAATTGATTCAATATTATTAATACCCAACAAAGGAAAAAGGGGAATTACTACATTTAAATTTGTCAATCCATTTTATAAGTCAAGAAAAAAAAGAGTACAAAAATTTAAAGAAATTATTCATTATGGATGATGAAAATTGTGGAGGAAAACAAAAAAAAAAGTATTCAATATCATAAAAGTAATACTAAAAGTAATACTAAGTATATTTAATTCCTATTCTTATTTAGTTGGTCACGATCCCAACCAATTAAAAATATCATTTTTTAGTACAATAAATATAAAAGATAGAGAATTGGACAGTCAACTTAGGTAATTAATATCTTATATTCTCAACAGAAAGAATATTAAAATATCTTACTACAAATTTTGGAGCCGAGCCAAAAAATAATTATAATAAAAAAAAAATTTCCTTTGAAAAAAAAAATTATAATTGAGCGTATAATTGTGAAGAGGTGAGACCTGGGAGGATAAAGAAACAAAAACATCGTATTCACGGTGGGAACAGAGCGATCGCTATTGGCTGCGAGTCAAACGTATTATGTCGTGGCAGTACGTAATTGGGCATTGATTTATGACTTTTGCACTGTAGGGTGGAATTATCTTAGTATTCGCGGAGGGAGAGTCAAGGAAAGAAGCTTCCCTCTTGGTGTTGGAAAATTTCGAGTATCAAACAAGCACGTGCCCCAGATGACTTTCTCTCGAGGAAAAAAAAAATAATAATAATGATACCACTCTACAAGTATATATATAGAAAATATATATATTTTTTTTAATTTAAAAAAATTGTATTGGTGATGCAATAATGAGGTGATAAAAGAGGATTTTAATGGTAAACTATGTCGTCTCGAGAGTCTTAAAATTATGTTGTGTGTGGTTTATTAAAGAAACGATTGTATGATGCATAACAAGCACCGTGAAATTTATAAACTAATTAAGTTAAAGAGAACCATCAACAAATTAATGATGATTTAAATTAAAAGTTTTGTTTGTGCAACAAAAGCCAATCAAGGTCAAACTCGACCAAAGCTGGTTGATTGAGAAGAGTTTGTGTGTTGTTTGGCGAGGAAGGACTTGCACAAGAGAAATAAAAGTTCAACCTTAATATAAAACTGAGTTAGAATATGAAACCTGATGTGAGAGTGAAGTACTCTATGTATTCATAGATTGGGATATCTGACTGACGGTTGAGCATGTCGTGTTGAAGATCGGCCACATGTTATGGGAAGACTGGCTAAAAGACCTTGTGATCTTTCTTTGTCCTCCACGTGGCAAAGCTATTTTTATCCTCAAACAAACTTTTGTTTTAGAATAATATTTTTGGTTACCAAGTAGTGAAAAAAATTTACATTCTAACTTCTTTTAATGTAACATGGGAGATGGAGATTCGAACTCACGAACTTCTAATCAAATACCTTAATCTATTGAACTAAGTTTAGGTTAATTAGAAAAAGAAAGAACATTTGTTTATGAAATATTATCCCGTCACGATCGAAAATGAAATTAAGATTTAAAATAAAGTTCGTTATTTAAGAAAAACAAATTAAGAGGTCGGGTTCAAAATTTTATTAGGATTGAGTTTGTGTTATCTAAGATTAAAAATTAGATAAATTTCACTCTAGAACATATTTAAAATGTCATTATTTTTTATTTTTTTTCAAATATTGTACAAGTATGACCTTTTTTTGTATTGTTTTTTACTTAACTTTCTTTTTTTTTACACTATATTTAGAAATATTTTTTTAATATTGTGTTATTTCTATAAAAGCTTAATTGAAAATTTAATACATTAAAGATACAATCGAGAATTATCCCATATATTTTCGAGATCATTTAGTATATTTAGCTATCTCACATTTTGGTAGATGTCAAAAAAGAAAAAAAATTGAGACTGATGGAATCAAACTTAATTTTATGCTATCGATTTTTATTGAAATTAATGAATTTTGGGAGATTTTTTTCATTACTTCGTTGAAATTAGCTAGTGAGCGGATATAATAAAATTCTATCAAAAAATTAAAAATACAATACTAATTCAAGTTTAAGATTTAATTTGAGTAATTGAATACAAATTAATTAGTCTCCATCGTTGAATTCAAATAGGAAAATATAAATTTCCTTCTAAAATATATATAAAAAAAGGTTCATTTTATTTATTCACAGTCTGATGTCTTTTTCGTAAATAAGCTGTTTTTTCATGGGAGCACGCCACTCCAAATAAGTCAACTAAAGGCGGAATTTAATTGCCTTCAATTTTCAATTCTTCGATTTTTTTTATTATTATTATTATGTTTTTTGGGAAAACTTTTCAATTCTTCTATTGAAAAATTATAAAATGAGACCACTAAAATGCAGCTTGTCCATTCGAAAATCTTCATATTTTTAATAACTATTATAATTCCTCTCTCATAAATTTAATGGTGTGAAATTATCAATTTTATTACGACGATTTCTTCCAATAATTTTTCTTTTCAATGGTCTGATTTCCCAACTAAATCTAACCCACAGGTTTAGATTTTAAGTTTTTAATTTCTACGACTTGATATTCTTTTAGACGTTTGACATTGATATTGGAAAGAATTTTAATTGTGATAAAAAATATTAATAAAATATCAAGCATACGAATAATATTAATAAATCTGAGAAATTGAGAGGGAGTGAGAAGTTTTTGTTATTTTAATTTAAGACAAATGGTTTAGACATTAAGTGGAAATCACTGCTAAATTTATATTATAATACAAAATGAAAAGTTAGAAATTTATGTTATTAGATTAAGATTAAAAATGGGATGATATATGTGATCTAAGTTCAACTTGTTAATATATATGTTAATAAATTTTTCTCTTGTGATTCCATTCTTCATGCTAATATTATGAAAAGAAAATTGGGATAACGTTTTTTTAAAAAATATTTCTAAGCACGTTGTGAAATATTATTTATAAATTTAAAATATATTTTGATGTAGTTAAGAACGATTTAATTATTGCAAATATTATGTCATACAATAAATCAATTTAGGGTAATTGAGTTCTATTAAGATGATTTGAATATAACTCAATTACTTTAAGACAAGAATTATAGTTTAAAAGTTCGAATCGCCATATCTATAACTCTATTTTGATAATGTTTCATTTTTAATTTTACGCTTTAAAAAGTTATGCTAACTCTCTCATCATTCTTTCCATATATTTTTTTTACAATTTTTAAAGATGTATTTAAATTCTTAACAAAATTTCACTAAAAAAAACCTGTTGGATTTATTTTTCAAAATTTGGCTTATATTTCAAAAATTATATAATTAAAATAGTGTTTATAAACTTAATTAAAAAAAAACCACAAAAGATTATCAAATGGGTAGCATTTGTAAATGTTAGGCTTTTAAAAAAATATAAATGAGCCATATGCATGGGTATACTATCCCATGTAACTGGCAAAACATAAATTGTCGTTACATGAAAGTTGAGTGTCTCGATAAGAAAGCATTTTAAGGTGATCATGTAATCTTAAGACGAGTTATCAATCACATGGGTATCTGAATATAAGAATGACTCTCTTGTTTTTACACTTGGAAGGTAAGATTCACTTACAAGTTATCAGACACTTTCGTAGAAACTACAACTTAGGTTCTACCCGTGGGATGATGATTGGCAATGACATTATCACATTCGAGGTACTTCGCAACGCTTTAGTCATGTCCGAGATTTTTTACCTCGTCCTTCTCTTCCTAACATTTCCTCTTGCCCGTGGAGGGCCTTATTAAAAACTAACATAAATAGTCAAATTTTACTCATTTATTCTCTCAATCTCATAGTTAATTTCAAAAGAAATGCATATATACAATAGGATTATTGTAATAAAATTCAGTCCAAAAGATTCCTTCAAAGAAAAAAAAATATTTTATCTAGAGTCTTGAAAAAAAAAAAAGGAAAAAAGACTAAAAACAGTTCCAATTTTTCTCCAAAACAATTGGACGTTCGTGACAACTCCATATTAGACAAAAGTTAATCATGAAACGGAAAGAAAAAATTAAAAAGCAAATTATATAATCGTATTCTTATTTATATCTGTAATATAATTAACAAAAAACCAATTTAATGAATTCAAAAAACAAAAGAAAAAAGAAAAGTGCGGCAGAGTGGGGCCCACGCATCTGCGAGAAAAATATCTTCTCCTTCTTCCTCCTCCACGCCTCTCCAGCAAATCCCTATAAATACCCAATTCCGACTCCCGGACTTTCCCGGGTCAGCCCGAAAACCGAAACTCCATTTTCCCCCCCTCTCTAATCTCTCTCTCTTCTCCGATAATGGAAGTCGATCGGACGGCCGAGAACGCTCACGAGAGCTCCGACGAATCGAGCCAGAATCTCGGAGAAACGAAGATCTCCGAACGGAGGCTCCGGCGGTACGATTCTCTCGACGTGGAATCCCGCGCCATCCCCGGCGGCGGCCACCAGGTATATCTTGGTTCTCTTCCTCTTGCCTCGATTGAGAGGGCTTTTGTGTAATTTCGGTTGTTCCGGCAGGCGGCTGCGGCGGCGACGGCGAGTTGGGGAGTGATTCTGCATCTGGCGTTCCAGAGCATCGGAATCGTGTACGGCGACATCGGAACGTCGCCACTTTACGTGTTCGCGAGTACGTTCACGGACGGAATCAAGCACGACGACGACGTTTTGGGCGTTCTGTCGTTGATTCTCTACACGCTTACCTTAATCCCTCTGCTTAAGTACGTCTTCTTCGTCTTGCAGGCCAACGACAACGGCGAAGGTAAATTAATTTTGTCTATTTACCTTTAATACTTCTAAAATTTTAAAACTTTTTTAGAACTTTTATTTTTTTTATTTGGTTTATTTTGATTCCAATGTTTATTTATTATTATTATTATTATTATTTTTGAAAACATTCAAAAATGTTTATTTTAGTTTATATAACTTCAAATTTTATTAGCATGGGAATCGTAAGAGATGATTGAACTCAGAGTCGTCATTTGATTGGATATATATGTTAATTACAGTCGAGTGATGATCGCTTTGACAAACTTTTATTTATTTTTAGTTCATATTACAAAATTTTAACACAAATTTTATATCATTGAAAATTTAAATCTAGTAATGAAATTACCGTAGTAAAAACAAAATTGAAAATGAAATAACTAATCATTTTTAGAAGTACCATTGCCAAAAGTAGAGAAATAAAAATGAAAAATACAACCACTAAAATATACATTTTGAATTGAATCAAAATTAACAAAAGCAAGCAAAAAAAAAAAAAAATATATATATATATATAGACCAAAATAGTATTTAATTTTTCTTTTTGTTTGGTCTATAAAATTTGGTGTAGAAATAAAAAAGATGAGATTTGGGGGTGATTGAATTTTTTGATTTTGATGAATGAGTGAAGGTGGGACGTTTGCTCTATACTCTCTGCTATGCCGGTATGCAAAAATCGGGCTGATTCCGAGCGAGCAAGTGGAAGATGCGGAGGTTTCAAATTTTCAGGTGGAGCTGCCGAGCAACCGCCTCCGAATGGCGTCGTGCTTGAAGTCGAAGCTCGAGAACAGTCGCCCCGCCAAGTTTTTCTTGCTCTTCGCCACCATGCTTGGCACCTCCATGGTCATCGGCGACGGTGTCCTCACTCCTTCCATCTCAGGTATACCACTTTCTTTACTTGGGTGAGTTCTACGCATAATAACTAAATTCCGTCTTTTTATATCTATCACTTAAAACTTTAAGTTGATACGTTAATATATTGTGTAATATCTTTCCTTATAAATAATGTAGAATTAGTAACATCGGACCCATCAAATAAATGTCAAACTGCTACCATGTGGGGAGGGAGAGTTTAATTTAATCCCATATTAATTCTTTGTTTGATACCATTGAGGTAATACTAGACTTAAACCATGACAACTTAACGCATAATTTTAATTAGTCATTCAATGATTGAATATTCCCCTTATAGTATTATTATTGATTATATATATAAAGTCAATTAATTATTTGATTTTTTTTACGATGAAAAATATTCTTAACTGCTGAATATTATTATATCCATATAGAATGATTTAGATTTAAAGGCACAATGGTCAGAATGGGACATTAATTCCTATATCATAGGACGAGGAAAATAAAGCATTATTATTTGAAGTTGAGTTATTGGGGAGACAAAAATTAGGTTACAAATTTATGGCACCAAGTCGTGGGAAAGGAAACTAGGTGGAAAATACCTATTTAAAAAGGTTTTTATCTTTAACTCAAAAAAAAAGGGAAGAAAAAAGGGTTTTGCCTTAGAAATTCATTGAGAAAGAAAGTGCAAAAGAGACAAAGAAAAAAAGAAAAAAAAAACTCTAAAAATTCAATTTTGATGGCAGTTTTGTCGGCTGTGGGAGGAATCAAGAATGCTACCTCGACTATGACACAAGGTAATTTTTCAATTCTTTTTTCCTTTCTTTCATCTTTTTAAAATAAGGCTTTGGAATATAAAAAATAAATACGAGCAATTATATTTATGAATTAATGATATTTTAATTGCCAAACTTTAGTTGGTTGGTTTTATATGGTCATTGTAAATGGCTCTCTATCTTAATATATAAATCAGCAAACAACTTATTTTATTATAATTTTGTTTTATTTAAGATAATTGTTTTTTTTATAAAATTTTTCTTTAAAATTATTTCAAAAAAAAATTTCCCCGAAATTTAGCTTATATATATATATATATATAGAAACAAATAATAATAAAGCGACCTTGTTTTCTAATAATAGAAAACTAGAGAGAAAATTTCTCCTCAAAATGGGGCATAAATAATTTTATTTAATTTTGACAAATATTTAATGAAGTAGGGTTATATTTGAACTTTGGACCAAAAATATTTTAGAAAATGTCTACTTTTCCTTTATTATTATTATTATTATTATTTTGAAAATAAATGTCATTGATTGTGATTTCTAGGTTTTTTGGACACTTTTTCTGATAGATGATTGATATTTATACTTTTGTCAGGTCCCAGGAAACTTTTAGTATTAAAATTTTATCAATATATCAATACTTTCCTTAACATGTTCACGTGTTCAATATTTACCTAAAAGATGAATTTACATTTCTATTATATAGTAAAAATTTGACAAAATATAAAAAATTTCGTTAAAAATAGACACAATATTAATACTAAAATTTTTAACATTTTGTAATTTAGACACTTCTCGAATTTCTAGAATTTCTATTTTATTTTTTTGACACCTTATCTATTTTTTTTGGATATTTTTATAAAATTGAGACCTCAACATTTCAATAATACGAACATTTAAAACCTGAACTTAAAATAGAGAAAAAATTTAGTGATATTTTGAAATTTAATTTTTTTTAGATATTTGTCACAGAATATTTGACTTGTTTGTTGAAAGCACAGTAATTTTAATTTATAGTTCTTGGTTTGTGTTTTGTTTTTTGTTTGTTTTTTTTTTATTTGGCAGACAAAATAGTGTGGATATCAGCAGCAATATTGGTTTTCCTGTTCATGGTGCAAAGATTTGGAACCCATAAAGTTGGATACTCCTTTGCTCCCATTATTTGCATTTGGTTTGCATTTATTGGTGGCATTGGCTTCTATAACTTTTTGAAATTTGATCCTTCTGTCATCAAAGCTGTAAATCCTAAATACATTTTTGACTACTTCAAAAGAAACAAAAAGGATGCTTGGATCTCTCTCGGTGGCGTCGTTCTCGCCATTACAGGTAAATTTCTAGTACTATCGTGGTTACTATCTATTTTATTATTTGATTTAGCGAATTTTACATGTTCTTTGAAGATTAGTAGTCGATGTGGTTGAAAATTAAATTTGAATTATGACTAAAATTTTGAATATATGATGAAAAAATAGGGACCGAAGCTCTATTTGCCGATGTGGGCCACTTCACAGTGATGTCTATAAGACTAAGTATGTGCTGTGTGGCATACCCCGCCCTTGTTTCTGCCTACGTTGGCCAAGCCGCCTTCCTCGGCACGCACTCCGATCTTGTCTCCGACACCTTCTTCAGCTCTATTCCAGGTAACTTATTAAATTACTACTAAATCTAAAAGTATAATAAGTTGATAGATACGATATATTTAATCATTTATTCATATTCTCAAGAATCATTTTTCACTTCAGCGCTTGCCATAACTGACTTACCATTTTCGTTGCTGCAGGTCCTCTGTATTGGCCCATGTTCGTGGTGGCCGTGCTCGCTGCCATCGTCGCCAGTCAAGCCATGATCTCCGGCACCTTCTCCATCATACAACAGTCCCTATCCTATGGCTGCTTCCCTAGAGTCAAAGTAGTTCACACCTCTTCCAAGTATGAAGGCCAAGTTTACATCCCTGAAGTTAACTACCTTCTCATGTTTGCTTGCCTTGGAGTCACTCTAGGGTTCAAAGACACGACGAGGATCGGGAATGCCTATGGTAATATATTTCGTCGATTCTTTCATTTTCTACTGTGTCAATATTGATTGAAGAGAAAAGTAAGAATTCAAACCTCCGACTCTTGAGGCCCAGAGGAGACAATCAGAATTTAGTTTTTCACTAATGAAATTCATATAAATTAGTTTTATTCTCATAGACCTAACACTACTTTTGCTTTTTACAGGCATTGCAGTGGTGTTTGTAATGGCACTCACTTCAAGTTTCCTAGTACTCATCATGATCATGATATGGAAATCTCACATACTTGTCATAATCTCCTATGTCCTTACCATTGGCTTGTTGGAGCTTCTATATCTAAGTTCAGTGCTCTACAAGTTTGATCAAGGGGGCTACCTTCCTTTAGCTTTTGCTGGGTTTTTGATGACAATAATGTACATTTGGAATGATGTCCATAGAAGAAAATATTACTATGAACTTGAGCACAAGATTTCCCCTCAAGAGCTCAAGGACATTGCATCTCACACAACCCTCAATCGTGTCCCTGGCCTAGCCTTGTTCTACTCCGAGCTCGTCCAAGGCATTCCCCCGATCTTTAAGCATTATCTAGCCAACGTGCCCGCTCTCCAAAGGGTCCTCGTATTTGTGTCCTTCAAGTCCCTCCCGATAAGCAAAATCCCAATGGAAGAGAGGTTTTTGTTTCGACGAGTTGAGCCTGACGAGCTCAATGTGTTTCGATGTGTAGTTCGATATGGTTACAGAGATGTCGTCCACGAGCACGAGCCATTTGAGAGGGTACTAGTGGAGCGATTGAAAAGGTTTATAGCGGAGGAGGCGTGGTCGTTGCACGACGAAGAAGGAATGGAGGAGAAGAGGAAGAGAATGGAGGAAGAGATAGAGGTGGTGGATAAAGCTTGGAGAGATGGGATTGTGCACTTGATTGGACAAAATGAGGTTGTGGCAAGCAAAAAGTCAGGGTTACCAAAGAGGGCTTTGATCAATTATGCTTATAATGCATTGAGAAGAAACTTGAGACAAAATGAAGAGGTCTTTTATATCCCTCGCAAGCGTATGCTCAAAGTGGGAATGACTTATGAGCTTTAGGATTTTGTCTTCGAGAAATTATTCAAAGTGATTAGTATAATGTGCTCGTCTTTTCTTTATTTTTTGTACTTTTTTTAGTTCAATTGATGTGGAGTAGGATATTGAACCTTTCGATCAGAAAAAAGTAATAGAGGTCTTATCCACTCAATTATGAATGGGTGGATTGCTTGTTTTTATGTAAAACATTATGTAATGACAATCTATCCACATCTTGTTATCTACTCATCTTGCTTTTCTTCATCATGTACAAATTGAGAAGTTCTAAAGATATACAAAAAGTTGTATGAAATATGTATGTTGAGATGTATATTATCTCAAATTTCTTTGTGTTGAAGTTAGTGCACAATGTTTTCCACTCCCTCATTTTCTATGTAATTGTGATTTTGTGAGCAATATTAATATTTTAAAAATGGAAAAAATGAATAATTTTTCCCATCAAAATATAGCTAATAATTAAAATACATTAGTTAAACCTTTTAATCAGATGCACACCTTATGATAGAATATGATTCTACAATGATGAAGTTCTAGTCTAGCAGTACGACACACAACCCTCGAATTTCTACAACGAACTAGCTAGGGGGAGTACAAGACTTATAGTAGTAGGTCACGGGTGCAATGGCACCCACCCTATTTTCATCTCGAAAAACTACCCCAAGCCGCTTCCATATCACACGCAGCATCAGTGTTGATCTTGAATATCCAGAAGTTGATGGGTGTCATCTAACTTCTTTGCTCACGGATCGAAATAATGACAGGACTAACGGTACTGTTGATACATAATTTTAGCCTATAAGAATTACCAAATTTGTATCAATATTCTATAATAAAAAGGATTCGATAAAACTTACAAAATATGAAGATTACACACCGATATAGTGCTAGGCACACACACTATGTTGCCTAAGTCAAAATCGGTATTTTATATGAATGGTACCAAAGTGTAAGGTTCTATAGTGGCCTTTTATTCCATTTTTATAGAGAATAAATCTTAAGGATATTGGATATCTTTTCCTAAAATCTCCTCGATCTTTTCTCTTTTAGAACAACTCTCTTTTCATATATAGTTGAGCTTTCTAGACTTTCTTCTTTGGATCTGTCGAACTTTGGCATTCTATGGACCGTAATTGAGATCAAGATTCGAACTAAGCTGCTCAGCCTCAGGCTAGCATCGAGGCGCCAAGCTCGAGCTCTAAGGTAGCGCTTGGGACATGGTTTTGGCCAAGCCGACCAACATTCAAGCAGGTCGGGTTATTGGCTGGCCGAGCTGACAGCCAGCCAATTCTGGTTAGCTTCAACGTTGGCCTAGCCGACCAAGGCTGGCCAGCTACATGACTTGGACGAGCTGACCAAAGCTAGTCGGCTACAAGGCTTGGCCAAGTTGACCTGGTGAGCTACAAGGTCTACCCAACTGACCAGCCAACAAAAGGCTGGTTGCCATGGTCGGCTCGACCATGGCTAGCAGGTTGACTCTTGACCAAGTTGACCTTAATTCTTGGTTCTTGGATCGAGATCGCTTCTTCGATCTGGGTCTTTGAGTTCTCAAGCGTCTGTTTGATGTTCAAACTTGGTTTGTCGGAGTTTGATCCATCATTCTTAGTTTTGTTTTACTCCACCCATAAGCGACAAATTTGTAATAAAAAAAAATTATAGGTACAAATGCTACATAGAAATACATTGAATTTATACCAACTCTAATATCCCAAAAATTTCACCTATAGAGATAGCTGCTCCAAAACAAAAGACAGTAACCAACAGAGACCAAATAATTTAAAATACCAATTTTTTCTTCAGATTCAAATCTTTCACCTTTTACATAAAAAGAACAATAAAATGGAGACAGCAAAAAAACAACATGGTTTATTATGTCACCCAAAGAAAGAAAAGCAGGTGTGCTAGGTGTCACATGGAGAACTCAAAGCTGCACATGGCTTTCTTCCTAATTTCTCTATAATCTATGCATTGGGAATTAAGAGGCATATTAAAAAAACATGGCTTCTAAGCCAAAGTTGGCAGAAAAATTAAAACTTTACATATATATATATATATATATATTTGACAATAAAGGGCTCCCATTGAAGCTAACCCAATATATGGACATGGTGAAATATGGGATTAAAAAAAGAATTGTGTTTTTGAATGAATTAGTACATGTGTGAGAACTTGTGAGAACATCTAGGTTTTCTATCCCCTATGTCTTATTTCTTGTCTCCCTTGTTGTTGGATTTGAAGGGTGATTGGTAATTTTTATAATGTCCAAGGAGTTTGGACAAAGAATAATATATATGTATTTATGTGATTTTATATTTTTATTTTCAATTGGGGTTAGATTAGTTTAAGTGGTTAATTAGACTCTTCAATCTCCCACTTTTGTCCGAGTTACTCGTGGTAAGAATTAAACATAAATTAATTGGTAAAACATTAATAATGTCTCTAGGTGTGAATTCTGACCGTCCTCATTGGCTATGCTCAAGTTAGCTTCACCATCTCTAGGGTCATTCCTATAATTAACTTTCGGATTTATTATGACTTTTAAACTTTGCATATACAATTTCATTTTGGACTCATACGGTTAAATTTCTGTGGCGAGTACATCTAACTGAAATCCAATGTGATAATACATTAATTTGTAACTCTTCTTTTTTAAGGTACATTAATTTGTAACTAATTAAGAGTATCGAATTTGAAAACAAATGACTAAAAATTTATGCATTGTAGCAAGCGGTAATATAAATATATTTATGAAAATATAGATTATTTTAAGTATAAGTACCAAAATTAAATAGTTGTAAAAGTTGAGGAGAAAAAATAGAATGCAATTTTTAATCTTATTAATTAGATCTTCAAATCTTTGCACAACAAATCAATTGTATGTGTACAATCAAACTACAAAAGAATAGTTGATTTAGCAATTCTATAAAGTCCAAAGACTTCCACCATGAATAAATCTATATTATTAAATTTAATGTAGAGCTATAACAAATCAAAAATCACTCGTTATGATCATTGTTACATCTGCATCATATATTGGACCTAAAAATTTAAGCTATTTAAATCATGGGAGAAATTTAATCTTCATTCTTTCACACACACATATTATTTATTATTATTATAAATTTAAGAAATGCTATCCCCCTCCCAACAATTGTCGCAATACCCTCTGGTGCAACGCTGTGGGTTCTATACCGTGATCAATTTGATTGGAAATGAACAATAGAATCTTCACAGATGTTTGTAAGACTTTCAATCATCTTCGAGATGATATTATTATTCTAGCTTCCTCTTGGATATCCAAATCCAAGTTTTTTTCTTTTTTTTTTTTAATTAATTATGATATACCTTCCATTTCTCTAAATTGGAGTGCTTTCATTTATCCTTCCCTGTTTTGTATGTTTCTCACGTATCTAATGAAATGGTTCGGTATTTTTTTTAAAAAAATTCATTAGGAAGTACATGAGGAATATACAAAAGGGAGGCTAAATGACCCAAGCGGATATAAGTAATTGGTAATTGGCATATATCTCCAACCAAGAGCTTATTAGTTCGATCCCGGACCCCAACTTAAAAAAAGCTAAATAAAAGTGCTCAAAGATAGCAGAAATTAATCATAATTAAAAAAGGGAGGTTTTGTAGGACCAATTTGATGCTAAAAACTTTGATATCGGCCTCTCAAAGATGAGTGAATGTCAAATCACGATTATCTGAGAGAATACCGCAAAATACCAAAGAGTAGAGCGGCTGGAATTCGCTGAATAAAAAATAGTATTGGATATGAAAGAATCGATCAAGTCAGGGAGGGCAAATTTTCTTCCATTGAATCAAGAAGGGTCTTTAATTGGCATAGAAAACTTGAAATTTTCTTAGGAAACAAACAGAAAATCACAATAATGGGGAAGCTGTGAGAAATGGTTATATAATTAATTATTTTATCATTTTACATACTCTTCAAGGGGAAGACCCATCTGTTTTTTCATTCAAAAAAAGAAAATTTCATACCTTAAAACCCACATGCAATGAAGAAGAAAAAAAAGAAAACAAATTCAAGTAACAGAGAGATCATTAATTAGTAGTATCATCCAATTATACATCTCAAACCAAACCCTAAAAGTCCAAAAAGTTTAATTTTGGTTTCACACATCAACCAAATCTCAAGATAACTCACAATAATAGTTCATTCAAAGACAATACCCACAAAAACATATTTTTTTTCAGTCAGAAAATTAAAACAACATTCCCCAATTTCCCCATTTGAGCTGATCTTGGCTTCTCATCTCAAAAAACCCATTCAAGAAAGTCAAAAAAGAAAAAAAAAATTCATAACCCAATTGAAAAAAGAGAGAGATAAAGAGGACAGTTTCATCTTTTCATCTTTTTTTTTTTTGTTTTTGATCTTTCAGACTAAAATTAGTCTCTTCAAAATCTCTCTCATACATCAAGATTAGAACTATTGCAGCATCCCTTATTCTGTTGAGCTCTCTCCCCTTCCATCTCTCTATACCTAACCAAATACCTCCTCAAAGGCTCCGCGTAATCGTCGAAACCGAGCGTCGCCAAGGCCGAGCAGATGTCGTCGCCGTTCACCGTCTTCCTCTTCTCCTTATGGCACTTATCGGACGCCTCGCCGGTGACAAAGCTGATGAACTCTGACACACATTCCTGCATAGTTTCTTTGGCTTCTTTGGAGATTTTGGCATTTGGAGGAAGAATTTGCTTCATTATCCTCCCCACATTCGCTATCGGAAGTAGCCGATCTTGCTCCTTCACAACCCCGTCGCCGCCGGTGAAATCATACTTGAATTCTTCTACTCTCTCTGATTTCTCTGTGTTATCATCCATCTATCTATGGAAAGAAGACAGGGAAGAAGAAAAAAAAGTTGGAAAAAGAAAAAAAAAAGAGGCTTTTTCTATCCTCTAAAACGTAGACACGTTGCCCTTCCCTTTCAAGTGTCCCCAACTTGTCTCTCCCACTTATATATATTGATGATGTCTATGGTTAAAAAAAAAATTTAAATCAAATCTTGATCAAAATCTTTAATCGGGTTCGATTTTACTAGTAGAGTTATCACTACAAGGTATTTAAATTGTCTTTTTCTATTAGAATACCATCGATTTTCGGTTTCTTACAGTTTAGATCGTTTAGATTAAGATGATTTGTCCCTTTTAGGTTTAGGGTTTTGTTTGTATATTTATTTTGTATTGTATTGTTTTTGTTTTCTTTTTAATGAATTCTTGAGAATGTGATTGTGTGTTTGTTAAGTATGCTTTCCTTCCATTTATAAGGACAGTTTAGAACTATTTGTAAAATATTAAAGAATAAACTATTGCTTTAAAACTTAGGGAATCAAATAGAATCTTAATTCAATCACTAGGGACTGAACTGTAATTTATGTTAAAGTGGCCCATAATGTGACCATCCACATATAATCTTCTTCATGAAGAGCTCTCTAACTTTGTCTTCTCTCTTTTACCTATATGATGTGTTCAATCTTTTAATTTTTACACTTTGCTTTATCTTTAGACAAGATTAAATCCTCGATTTATTTCTGACTTTTTTCCCGAGTCGAAGAACTTTGTATGTTAGGATGTTTCTAAAAATATTGGGTCATATTTGAAAACGATGTGGTTTATTGACAATTTAGTTAGTTGGTTTATGAACCATTTCTTTTGTTTAATTTGTTCCGGAAACAAAATTTTGAAAACTATTTTTCATAAGAAGTATATATATTAAAATTTTTTTAAAATTTGGAAACTGAATGCGCATAGAATCTCAAATTCAAGAGTATCAAAATTAAAAGACTTCCTTAACTTATAACTAATAATATTATATTAAACTAACTACTACCCCTCAATAATTCAAATTCATTTGCGAACCTAGCTTAGTGTAGTGGTGATTGACACCTATCTATCTCCAATCATGAGTTTAAATCTTTCACCTCACTTATACTAAATAATAATAATAATAATAATAATAATCCAAGATCGTTCTATATTTTACCAGAGAAACTTACCATAACAAAGAAAATTATTCAATATGGCATCACCCTCGTAACCGTTAAATGTATAGATTTTTTTTTTAATTTCTCTCATACATCTAGAAGTATATAAATGTGATAGTGATTCAAATTGTGGCAGTCATATTGAATAAAAATGAGCCATAATCGATAGCGGATAGGGGTACAATAATTTTGGGACAAGTGTCGGCATAGTTAGGTTTTGATTCTCTCTCTCCTCTCTCTCTCTCTCCAAATATTTGGAAATGCTTTGTAGGGTTTGGCTGACCTCAAAAGCATATAAAGGCTATGGGGAAACTTCTCAATTATACAAGTGTTGTTTGAATATGGTCCCCCCATCCTTTGTTCCGTAAGGCAATAATAATCTCTCTCAATTAACTTTTAATTTTAAACTAATTAATGATGCATTGTTATTATTAATTTTTTTTATAAATTTGTGGACTCAAAGTTATGCACGTGTTATTGTACCACAAACACTACCAAATTTAGGCCTAAAAAGAACCAATTTTGATTCTATATTATAAAAAATTGGATTACCTACACCATGCCCACTACTTCTAGGGTTTGGTTTCTTTTCTTTCTTTTTTGTAAAGAAAACTTCAATTATATTACAATTTCTTATATATATATATATGAATTTCCCTTTGTAGATAAACATTCAAACATACCTATATAATATTACATTTTTTTAATGTTCAATTGATCTTATTATAAAATCTTTGCTATACTTAAAATTTTAGTAAATTTAGTATAAAGAACATGTGGGCTATTATATGCATGAAATAGAAAAGAAATAATATTTTATAAACACATTTAAACTTGCATTAGTTTCTAATATCGGTAATAAAATCAGTATATGTATATAACTATATATTTATGGTTAATCCTGAATCTGACTCAAGAAAGGATAAGTTCGAGTATGTCTGAGCTTGCAGAGTGAGTTTGGTGAATAAAGATCTGCCCAAAGAAAATAAATTACTTCAACGTTTAAGTTAGTAAAATGTCGATTTAAGATCGTCTCAAGCTGAGGTTCATATTGCATACATTGGGGTTATAATGGTGTCAATATTTATAGGATGTCAAGTGATGGTAATGTTCGATCGTTCTCTTATGTTGTCGGGAAATTCGTTACATAGCTGCAGGTTGTCGAGTCTCTGACCTTAGCGGCATGGCGTTATTTTCGACTAATGGAGACTAGAACGAGCTTACACATCACTTTTGGTCGAGTTTCAAAGATCGCCGAGATTCTAAGGGAAAGATTTAGCATATATGGATCTTTTCCTAACTCTCTACGTGGTCAGTCACATTTTACCTCCCAAAAAATTATCACATTTACAGCCTGTTAAATGCATGAGAAGAAACTCTTTTTTTTTTCCTTTGCATATATTTATGGGGAGAGAAATTTTCATAAAATTAAACATTTAAAGCAAATTTTAATATGATTTTGGCATGATATATCTTAGTGAAAATTAAACATTGGCATTCCCAAAAGAAGTTTGGCCTTTTTGATGACTTATATTATTGTGAGTAAAATATAATAATATATATATTCTAAAAGGGTTTTTTATCTATAATCTATATTGTTGATAGGTGCTTAGGAATGTATTAGGTTTCCCCATGAACAATTTAAAATTATATATTTCTAGTGCTTTCATGAATGGATTAGATTTCCCAATGGATCAGATCAATTCTGTTAGTCATGTTCTCTAATTTGGTTGGAAAGAAACAATCGATTTGTTTTGAAGAAATCTCGTTCTTTTAAYTTTATGATGATATTAAAGTCTTGACATCAATTTGGTCCTCAAAATTCCATTCTTTTTGTAATTAATTATAATATATCTATTATTTCACGACTGCTTTTATATATAGTCTTCTTCTTTTATAGGTTCCTCACATATCTTTTCAATAAAATTATTTTCCTTTTAAAGAAAACAGAGTATTAAAATATACATATATATATTTTTTACGAAGTTTAAAACTTAATAAAAAGGTTAAAATGCTGACAAAATTTGTCATCATAAAAAGATTTAAGTATTACTTTTCACTTCTTTTAACTAATATATGAAATTGAGAAATGAAATATAGATCAAGAGTGGAATTTATTTTCACCTTCGAGTGTTGGTGCAGTGGCAAGAGGCTTAATTAAGATCTAGGTTCGAGTCTTCCTGTGTAAGTAAAAAAAAACAGAGTGGAATCTATTTATTTATGGTTACTAATGCAATAAAATTAGGAAACCAAACAGCCATTTTTCTAGTTTTTGTTATATTACATATTTCAAGATCCACGTTTCTATATTATCGCAAAAAAATCAACAAATTATAATTAGTGGACATAATATTCATATTAATAATTTTTAACTTTATTAAAAAATGAAAAGTTGCACCACTTTTTAAACCTATTAAACACAACATCTAAAATGAAAACATACGTTAGAAATTTTTTAAGTTTATAACCCTCACAATTCAAGCACAAAACTTTAAATTTAACCCCAAAAACAACAATATATAAGACATTAAGAACCAATTAAATTTGTCTTTTGGATAAAAAAACAAAAACAAAACTTATGTTTTCTTTTGGGAAAAAAAAAAAAGAAAAGAAATAAATAAAACCATGCGATTATCCACATGAAAATTTCATAAAACTTCGAGCCACACGTAAATACAAACATACAACTGTCAAGCGAGTATAACTCAGCGGTAATTGACATATATCTCCAACCATTAAATTGTGAGAGATCCGGTCTCTCACTAACTCGACCATCCCTTTATTTAAATATATATATATTAGGTAAAATACATGTAATTAAGAATCTCTCAAAAGGCAGAGAAAATTTAAAAAAATCTTTTAAAGGGAGGCCCCCACTTTTAGTAATTGTATTTATGTTTGCTGTCATGAATTATTTTATTAATAACGACAGACAGTGTCGGCTGAAATGACATTTAACTACAACAGCAACATAAGATTCTGAAACATTTTTTAATTAAACCACATAATAATTAAATATCCTTTTATCTTTTATCTTTAATTATGTAACAAAGGGACAATAAAATTGCTATATTGGGCAGTTGAACTGAAACTGAAACTGAAACATTCTTCTGTCCGTACACATGATTTTAATCAACAGCAAAAAAATAGTAATAATATAAATAGCCAATCCCAACTTCAAATGAATAAGAAATTTATTACCATTTAAAAAAAATTGATGGTTCGATCTCTTATGGTCCCGTCTCACAATTATTGAATTAAAAAAAATCAACGAAAAGGAAAAAAATATATATTGGACATATATATAACATATTATGTTAATTTATAAATTCAATTCTTGAATTTTAATGATGTTGCGTATTTAGTTTAAGTTGAATGAAATGAGGTATTGTAATATTATTAACTAAATAATAATGTCATATATATCTATGAAAAAAAAAGGTTGGTTGCTTTGAATTTGATATAATAGATAGATTAATTAAGTATACGTTTTAGTTCATAATACTTGAGTATTAGTTTAATTTGGTCCCTATTATTTAAAAAGTTCCAATTTAGATAGTGATATTTTACCATTCTGCAAAAATCTGAGAAGTCATCCAAATATAAATGAACAAATCCATTGAATAATAAAAATTTTGAAGTTCAATAAGATCAATTCAAACATTAATTTCATCATGAATTTTTTTTTTATGACTTTGTATTTTGAAAGAACAAAAGAAAAAAAGAAAAAAAAATCAATTGTGAAATTAGATGTGGCATTTCAATTGCTAAATAAAAACTTCTTAATTAAGAGATTCTTATTAGGTCTCAACTTGATTTTTTGTGGATCAAGGTTTGACTTGCATCCAAAAGTCTTTTTTTTTTTTTTGGCAAAAGGAAAGCACAATTAATTAGAAATATAAAATTAAGTTGGTGGGGAGCATACTTTTAGAC